TGCCTTGCACACACCAGTTTGGGTTTAACATATAATCAAATCAGAGTGACAGCAGGTGGAAACCATCCTCCGTTGCCACAGGAGCTGTCCTTGAGTACAGGAACAAAGGCGAGACCGTTTCTGCCTGTGCACACCCATGCCCACATACCTGGGAAAAGTAAGGTCTTCAGAATCTTTCATTGGATCTTGCCTCTTGAGAGGCTAGAAAGGGAACCTTCTTACCGTGTTATACTCTAGTGAAGGGTATGATTTCCCAGGATGCTTGAAATAAGACAGCCAAGGGTGCTACACTTCCATGACCCTGAGCTGGGGTGAGAAATAAGGAAACAGAAGTGCAGTGACCTTCCCTTCTTGGGCAGGTTTCTGTGGAAGACGAGCGGGTTCCCGCAGCGGCCCCTGCTCCTAGGAGCCGTACCGGTGCCGTCCCAAGGCCAAGCGGTTTAACAGAACCCAGGAGTACAGGGCCGTCTTGCTTCCCCAGCCCAGCTAGGTAGTAATTCATCAGTGTTCCCCTTCAGACAACCACACCTGGCCTTTAAAGGCTAAAGTATAAAAATAGAAACACAAGCTGGGCATGGTGGTCACACCTTTAATACCAGCACTCAGAAGGCAGAGGCAGGAGGATCTCTGTGAATTTGAAGCCAGCCATATCCACATAGTGTGTTCTGAGACAACCAGGATTACATAGAGAGACCTGGTCTCAACCAAAAAAAAAAGTGCTGAAGAAGGCTTTCAGGACATCACATCTGTCTAGAACATTTGGAGATGACAGTTTATCTCTTACTGATAACTGAACTCTGAATATGGGGTTCTAAGTAAGACCCGAATTCTCTTTGTTTTGTCATCTAGCCCGATAGCCTCTAGCCTCCATCCTCCCAGCCTTCTAAGTATGTGGCACATGATCAGTAGACCTGAATTTTGACTGTTCTTGATGTTTGCTCCCCCGGAAAATAGAGGCAGGACTTGAAGGCAAGCAGGTGGGGAAGAAAGGCTTTCTCCTCGATAAACAAAAACAGAGGTGCTGGACTAGATGTCTGCTAAGTGAACTTGCCCCTTTAAACCTGTGATGGCTGTGTTCACAGCAATGGCATGGGGACCCAGAGGTGCTAGTTTGCTCCCAATACTAAGTGCTTTTACCAGGCACAGGGGTGCACACCTTTAATCCCAGCACTTGCAAGGCAGAGGCAGGAGGACCTCTGCGTTCACAGCCAGCTTAGTCTACATACATAGTGAGTTCTAGGACCGTCAGAGCTACATTGTGAGACCCTGTCTTGAAAGAAACCAAATGGTCTCGGGTGCTTGTGTAGCTGTCCCCTGATACTGCTGTAACCATGTCTGGGGAAAAAGTAATTTTCTGCCTTGTTTTTTATATGGGTAGCTGTTGCTGGGTTTCCCCTTCCCCTCCTTCTTCCTATTGCTGAGGAGCAAAGCCAGGGTCTTACACATGCTAGGCATAGCTCTACCACCAAGCTGTACCCCAGCCTGGCATAGCATTTTAGACATGGTTTAAGAAGCCAGGGGTGATGTTTGCTGTCACAGGGAGCAGGCTCTGTCATCTTGTCATGGTCAGCCACTGCTAGGAGGTGTCTGCCACTTGTTTGCCACTGTCCCAGAGTCCCTTAAGGCCATCTTCCATGGTGTTCTGGGGAGGTGTTGCGGGGACGAGGTTTGCATACACTAGTCACAGCGTTCACTTAAGGAAGTATTTGTGGGCATAAGAAGTTGCCTAGAAAGCACATTTCCAGGTTTCACTCATCCTTATTCATTTCCATTATAAACTTGCAAATGTGTTTCTAGAGAGAATTTTTGGCTCTAAGATGTAATAAAATCACACTGCAGAATTCAACAGACCTTATAAAAAGCCCATATTCATGGGAAGGTTCTAATTCTACATCACACTTTTGTGTTCGGCTTTTGTGCCCACAGAAGTGAGCATGTGCAAGCCTGGCCCAGCTGCTCAGAAGCCCACAGGCCTGATGCACCATGAAAAGATCCCGCCCCACCCTGAAGAGAGAGCCGTCCCTGACAACAGTTGTGGTTGCCCATCAGGCCCTTTCTGAGTTGGTCACATCCTCGAGCAGCTCCAGGAGCTGGAAGACTTCAGCACCTCCTGCTTAGCTCTTGCTGTAGGATGCCCCAACTCGGCAGCCCAGGCTTTCTTAAAACAGCAGAAGGGTGGGGGTGGACGGTGGACCTCAGCAGAACATCTCCACTGTGGACTGCATGGGAGCAGCCACCAGCACAGGACTGACTGGAGGTCAGTGAGAATCTGCCCGCTGACTCTTGTCTGGATATATGATTTCCATAATAGATGTATCTTATAAGACAAAACAACACCAAAATAAAAACAGGCATGGTGGCTCAGGTTTATAAGCCCAGCACCCATGACGCTGAGCCAGAAGACTACCCTGAGGTTAGCAGTAGCCTAGGCTACAGAAGGAGTTTACATCACAAAACAGACCTAAAGGACAGGAGGGCAGGGATTAAAAACATCAACCACAATAAGAAAAACCTTTCGCAAATGTCTGAGTTGTTTACATGGGCAAGGAAAGATGGTTATTTGCATTATCAAGTTATAAACATAAGGATCCATTTTACAAAAGGAAATCACACTTACACTTAGTGCATTTAAAATGTAGTATATAAATGCAAGCCAAACATATAAAGCAATAAATAAGTCTCACAAAATACAATCAACAAACTATTTATTGATTGCAATAATAGAGGTTAATCCTAGTGCTTGGAAAAACTCAGTGAGTTACACCTAGCTCAAGATTATTTAAACAACTTTTGGGCTGTGTATGGGGGGGCGTTGCTGTCTGTTGTTGCTATTAAGCCAGGTGTGCGTGAAATAAGTGAGTGTCTTTGGACTTTCTGAATCGTGAGACAAACCTGGACAACAGCTCTCATGCAGTTTGTTTCTCTTTGCGTAGTTATTAGAGAGGGAAATGCATCCAAAGATGGGCATGCTGGCACACTCTTGCAATCCTTACACTCGAGGCCAAGACAGAAGGGTTTGAAAACAGCCAGGGCTATCTCGTAAGACTGCGTCTCAAGAAACAGCAAACCACAGCTAAACTCCATTTGAAGACCCAGATTTCCCATTTCCAGAAATGACCTTTGTCAGCCCTCTGCCTTCTGCTGGGTGCCCCCACGATTCCTCCTAGAGCTGCTCAGTTCCAGGGGTCAGCCTACCTTTGAGGTAGACTTGGCAAGCTGTTGCTGCTGTGGTGCCCCAGTTTGACTTCCCAGGTTATGTGATTCCCATTAGGTGCAAAAGACCCAGCATTGAGACAAAGGCCCCAGCTTGTCCGGGTATCCAATGTCCTGTCAGATTTGGCGGGAAGAGTGTTCATCCTTTGCTTGTTTCTCTTACCAGTGAGAAAATGGCGTGTGAAAAATGCCCTGGGAGCCTTGGGCCAGTGGCAACTTGAAGTGGGAGAGCCAGCGCCCTCAGGAGCCGGGAGCCTGGGGTCCGAGCTCATCAAGGAAAGTAATGCCAATGTATGTCTGTCTGTCCAGTGTCTAAGGGGGAGTGGGAGGAAACTTCTGACCATGATTTGCTGACCACCTTATATTCACTATGTCCACCTAGCCACACTAGGTTTGTATGGACATCCAAACACGTTATTTTGCCCTTTCCAGGGCAAGGCCTCCAGGCCTGGTATGTCACAGCAATAGCAACTGCTTTGGGTGGGAGCCGGGGAGAAGAGCAGAGGGTTTCTTGTCTGGCTCTAGCTAGAGCCTGGGGAGGGTAGGGGCCAACCCTTTGTACCTTTCCCCAAGAACGGTCCTTGATAACCTGGGCTTCACAGCACAGCCTTGTAGTCTCAGCACTTGGGGAGGTGGAGTCAGGAAACAAGTTCAAGGTCATTCTACTACGCAAGTCTAAGGCCACCCTGCAAGTCTAAGGCCACCCTGTGCTGGTTTGCTTTCCACAGCCCATCTTCATGCGCAAGGACACTAAAACAAGTTTCCAGTGGCGGATTCGAAATCTCCCCTACCCAAAGGATGTTTATAGCGTCTCTGTGGCCCAGAAGGAGCGCTGTGTCATTGTTAGAACGACCAACAAAAAGTGAGTGGCACGGTGGGCACCTGTTTCCCTGGGTGCGAGCTGAGGTTGAGTGGGCTCCAAGAGTCGGGGAATTGACTGCAGCAGCTCCGCCAGGGTCTAGTCTGGGATCTGGCCTAGCCTAGGGCTCACGTGACTATCTGCTGCGTGAATGAGGGCTTAACCACTAGCTTGTGGTCTCTGGCAGTTTGTTCTAGGGTTGTTATGTCCTTGACCTGGTGAACTTGGCTTGGTGATACCACTGAATTGGCAGGAAGCCACATCTGGGTGGCAGCCCTCATCCTTCCCTGGACTAAGGGGAAGTAGGCAGAAGTTTGACTCTCAGAAATCTCTAGAATTCTGTTTCAGATTCCCTTTGTGATCTGTTAGGGGGAAGGCAGTGAGTGCTAAGGTTTGAGAGGTGGCCAGGGTGTGATCACATTTGGGTTTCTGGTACTCTGATCACAGACGAAGGGTCTAGAAACGAATCCGCTTCAGCCTGAGCTAGAGAGAGTATGAGGGCCAGTTCTAAACAGGGACCTCATTTGGGGAGGGTTTTGGTGTTTTTTTTAATCTCCTCGTTCACAAGCTGCCAAACCACCCAACTTGATGCTGGGGTTCAGAGCCTCACCCCATGGTGCCTACATGGCATCTGCTGCTTCACAGGAGAACTCCCCTCTCCCCCTTCAGGTGATGTGGTGCAGTCTCCTTTAGGAAGCAGAGGGCTTCCCAGCCACCTCCAGTACAGCCCTGGGTCCTGTTGTCCTCTTAGCACCCCCACACCCTGTCACTTTGGCAGGGTTAAGGGGACAAGGGAAAGGGTAGAGATGAATGAATTAATTTCAGGATTATTGCTGTACATGCAGCCAGCAGCCCCCGTAGTGGACCTTGTCTATAAATATAAAGTCATAATAATAAGGGTTTGCGTTTATAAAGCACACTGAAGTCCTCAGATAAAAGGCAGTTTATTCCCGTTATTGTTCTCATCATTAACAGGAGTCAGTGCCTAAAGTGGAATTTAGCAATTTCAGACAACAGAGAAATTGCCTGTAGGAAAACAAACTCCGTGCTTCAGCAAGCATTCCCTGGCGTACGAAGCCCTGGGTCCAAACTAGGAACAAAAGTGCTTCTGATAGCATTTGAATCTGCAGCTCAGCGCTTTGTGGAGCTGGCTGCTGCCTCCTTTCCGTCCCCCAGAGGTCACTGTGGAATACAGATATCAGGCAGAAATGTGATTACAAGAGCGTACTGGAAGAGGGGCCAGCTAGCTCACCAAAATCTTCATCTGTGAGCAGATCCTCTGGGCCCCATCCCCTGCACGTGTATACATAGATGCCATAGGTGGCGCTGTTGGCCAGGGGCTCTCGCTAGTGGAGCATTCCAGCACCCAAGGGCAGGGGTTGGGGGCATTTTTGAGATGCTATTGGAGGCCTGGTAGGATGGGAGTGGTACCCTAGGAGGAGGGCTTCACACAGAGGGAAAAGAAAATGATATTTTGGTGCTCACTTTAGAATTGAGTCCTAAACCAGGCTCAGCCTGCCCCCTGCAGGTCCCTATTTTCGAAAGTAGGCTGGAGAGGCCACCAAACTTAACCAGTCCTTTCCTGTGCCTAATGGAGTTCCTACCTTCTACCTGGAGAAATTCAGTCGCTGCCGGTACTTCACATTTAGGGTACTTCACATTTAGAACACTTTTAAAATCTTTTTCCTGATCATGATACCATCCAGAGGGGGACATGAAGCATATTCTTACCTATATATTAATGGTTGTAGAAATGCATATAAAAAGCATACAGTGACCTGTATAGAGAGTAGTGTGCCCTTCTCTCTCAGTGCTGTGCATTTGCAGAGCCCCCACCAGAGCACTCTTGTTGGGTTCTGCTTTTCTTCACCTAGAGGTGTGCTCTCGTTTAGCATCCAAAACAAGGTTCCCAACCAGAGCTACACAGTAGCTTGTTGCCCCTGCAGAACTGGTTTAGTCACTTTGCTTGAAGTTGATTCCAGTGTCTTGCTGTAGTCTTGACCTTGGGAAGGAAGAAACCATTTCTATGGGACCCTGGTGTGGCGCCATCTGGTCCTGAGAAACATGTTTGTATAAGGAAGGTTCCATGTCTCAGCCTGGAAGTTGGCAGCCGGAAGTGGAAAGACCGAGTGTGCTGGACTAAGATGACTCTGGCTTAGATCTAGCCCCTGCCAGGTGCCAACAGTAGACTCTGGCCAAGGTCTCCTCACTTGTGAGAAGCGTGCTTACACTACCTCACGACAGTTTGAGGAACTTAGGATCACATACATACAGGCACCCTGTACCATGGTCAAGCTGCCAAAGCAAGGGCGCTGAAGAGAGCCTGGCTAACTTGACACTGGTGATACTCTAACTAGACGACAGGACTCCGTATTCGCAGAACTGCCTGACAGGCTCTGAGAAGCTGAGTGTGGTCTTCATTGTGACTCTACAGGCAGCAGGAAGCCATGTGTAGTCTGCCCAGTGCCTGAGATTGGGGCTTTACCTGCTGCCACTCTCAGGGCAGGACTGGCTGGAGACTTCTCTGAATACAGTGGACATGCTAGAGGAGTGTGGGGCAGACACCACGCCACTGTCCACAGCAGGCCTGCCCCTGCCTCAGCTCCTTCACGGGCTTTCACCAAGCCTAACGGGTACCCTTTTCCATGCACAGAGCCAGGGGTGGCAGGGAACTGGGCAGGGTAGTAGAGTGGGACAGGAAGGCACTCTGACTTTTCCAGAAGCGCAGTGGCTTCCTCTCATCCAGATGCTGGCGAAAAATTCAAGTTCAGGTATTGTGGCACACCCTAGTCTGATCAGGTGAGCAGGGGCTGTGTGCAGAGGGAAAGGTGGAGACCTTTATTCACTAGCACCCTAGATGTCAGCTGTCTCTAGGAGAGGTTGTTTAGCCTCACCCAATGAACAGAATCCATCAGAGATGCAAAGCTAACCCTCTCAGGCATTGGCAACCTCCATTCCCTAGACTGGAAGGGGCAAGCCACACACCTTAAGTTCTCTGATCCTGAAGTTGCGGGGGGGGGGGGGGGGGGGGGGGGGGGGGGGGGGGGGGGGGGGGGGGGCACAAGCCCTGGGCTGCTTCTCTTCCATTGGCCCTTCCTGGGGGTGGGCGGTGCTTCTCCTGGTCCTGCTTTCTGTGTATATTTGCAGAGAAGATGTTAACACTTCCTAACAAGCCTTTGTGTTCACCTAATCTCCGCTGTTTAACCTTTGACCCCCTGCTATTATCAGTGTCTGCCACCTTTGCAGGCCAGACCAGGGCCCCAGGAAAAGCCCTCACTTAGCCTGTTGGCTAGGAAGAGGATGAAGCAGGCATTCCACCCATTGCAGGCAGATGGATCGCCTTTCCCTGGGGCAGAGCTTTGGAAAAGAAAGCAACGTGCTGTACCATTAGGGTCCCAGCCCCCACTCCTTTTGAACTGTCAGCCTTTGAATAAACATTCTTTTCCTGCGTGGGTCCCTGCACCTTGGTGGGGAGAGGGGAACCTGGGAAGAGAGGGGCCCCAGAGCCTCTTCTGAACTGAGGGATTTGGGCAGGGAAGACAGGGCAGAACCCTGCATCGAGTCCCCAGGGCATCAGAGCTTTTGAAGTGGACTCAGTGTAGCTGTCACCACAAGGGCCAGGTCCCTCTGAAGTATTAAAAGCCCATTCTCTCCAGGCCCTTCTCTTGAGTTTGTTTGTACCTACCTGAGGCATTTCCCTCCTCAGCCCACACAGCCACTCTCCCTCTTCAGAAAAGGACTTGTCCAGGTAGGGGCTCTAGCCACCCCTGGCTGGTGCCCATCCCATCTAGCCCACACGTCCACCAAGGAAATTGAGAGGAAGGGTATCAAGTGAGGGCCAGGCATGAGGAACTTTGAGCCTGACTTCACCAGCACCCTCCCTCCCTCCCTCCCTCCCTCCCTCCCTCCCTCCCTCCCTCCCTCCCAACTGCATTCCCTCTTGGCAAAGCCTCAGAATCTGTGCTATCTGGTTGGTTTTGTGTTTACTATATGGGAAAAGGGTTCAGAGTCTGAGACTTGTCCTCCCAGGAAGATGGCTCCGTCTGGTGACACTCTGGTCTGGTTTTAGTAGTTGATCAATGAGGCCTTCAGAGACACGTTGTTGTCACCCCGGTCTTTCAGTGAGGTCTCATGTAAACAGCCTTAGAAGTCCTGCTGATGCTTGTTAGGAGAAATGTCCCATTTCTGGTGTCCCCAAGAACCTGGGGATGTTCTTTGTATAGTTGGTGAGTCTGATCCCTGGGCTAGTCCCAGAACCCCCACTGGTTCTGCTCACCCTTGGCTGACCCGCTGTAAGGCTGCCATCATCCTTTTGATTCCAGAGCCACAGACCCAAAAAACCCAGGTCCTTTTCCTATCAAGCTGTATAGAAAGTAGGGGGGAGCTATGTAGAAACCTGGTAGCGAAGGGTCTGGTGCCCAACTGCCAGGGTCACCGTGCTGGTTCCCAGCAGCCTCTTGGTGTCCCCACAGGTACTACAAGAAGTTCTCCATTCCTGACCTAGACCGACACCAGCTTCCTCTGGAGGACTCTGCACTGAGCTTTGCTCACGCCCACTGCACCCTGATAATCTCTGTAAGAGAAGAGGTTCCTCTTCCCTCTCCCACTCTCCTGCCTTCAGGCACCCCAAGTCCTAGGTCTGCTTGGTGAAGACCAGGCTCTCCTACTCATCTGGGGGCGGGGGGAGGCCATGACGGGGACTTGAGCGGTCATCATGGGGATGCTCCTCCCCAGCCACAACCCTGAGCAAGTCCTTCAGACCTGCTCACCTATGTCTCCTCATGTACAAGAGGATCCAGAGTGTGTGTGTGTGTGTGGAGGGAGGGGCTAGTAACCGAGTTATGCTTTCTCCCTGGTTCCCTCCACAGTATCAGAAGCCAAAGGAGGTCATGGTGGCTGAGTCCGAGCTACAGAAGGAGCTAAAGAAGGTAAAGACAGCCCACAGCAGTGATGGGGACTGTAAGACCCAGTAGCTGTCCTGAGCTTTGCTTGGACCTCCAGTGTGAAGGAAGCTGGGCGACTTCCTGGCTTGGGCTCCTTTGGCGTGGGCAGCCTCCTCTAAGAACTTCAGAGGCCACGGACGTGGCTCTTGGGGCACAGCTTGCTTCTGCCTGTGGTTTTGTTCCTGAGTAAAGTTGTTTGGAGCTGCTCTGGAAGGACTGCCCTTCTATTCATTGCTGTAAGTTGCCTGTCCTCGGGCACCCTGGTCTTCCCGAGGAAGGCGCTGGTGTGGCAACCTCCCCCACCGTCCCCACCTTCCAGCTAAAGGGGAGAGCAGGGCTAGGCTTGCCGTACTTGCCTTATACAGGTGGCCCAGGAAAAACTCCCCTGAGGTGGATGTGAGCAAAGGGGACGTTGAAAACATCCAGCAGTCCTGGAAATAGCACAGAATGTTACAACACTGCTTGAAGTGAGCAGGGTTACAGGTTGTCAAAGGTGTGTGTGGTGAATGAAAGGTCACCACAGGTGCCAGCAGGTTAACAGCCACAAGCCACAGTCTCTTGTCCACACCCCAAAGAGGTGGGAGAAAAGAAACCTTGAGGACACAGAGCCATGGTTTTGTCCTTCCCTGTACACATTTCTGAGTTTAAATGTGATTTCTGCCTTCCTGGGGCCTCCTAGGATGACCTAACCAGATCTGTAAACAAACAGACCTGATTTTATTTTATTATTTCTTAAGAGTTACTTATTTATTAGGTATACTGTGTTCTGCTGCATGTATGCCTTCAGGCCAGAAGAGGGCACCAGATCTCATTACAAATGACTGTGAGCCACCATGTAGTTGCTGGGAATTGAACTCAGGGCCTCAATGCTCTTAGCCTCTGAGCCAGCTCTCCAGCCCCCAGATTTTATTTTTACAGAAATTAAAATCATATAGCATGTTTCTCACATGTTTCTGGCCTGAGGAATGGCTAGCCCAGGGGCCCGAATTGACAGGTGTCCTTTGTCCCTTTTCTTAGTTTCAAAACAAAACCAGGCTAGTACCTCAGAAATGAGCCCCCCAGTTTCAAGAAGCTGGCCAAAGTTGAGACCTGACTGAGGAGACAGCTGGTACTGGCAAAAGTTCCAGCAACTCACCTGTCTTTCTAGCTGGAATGTGGGAGCCCCTCACCTCACTCTGTAGGCTGCTGTAGCGCTATGAAGGGCTCGGGGACAGGCTGGGCCTCGCCAGCCCAGGACCTTACGTTGGCCCTGTTGTAAACACCAGAGTTCAGGTCCATTCTCCTAAGACCACGGGTACTGGGAGGGCCTACATCAGAGTCAGCCCCAGTGTCCAAGAGGCAGTGCTTCAGGTACCAGGGCACTGTGGCCACAGGTCCAGAAGCGAAGCAGGACTGGGAAGAGGGTGCGGTGTCAGTCACTTCACCTGCCAGGCAAGAGAGGTCCCTGAGAAGCTGATCCACCCGACCCAGAGGCAGGGCACTTGGTCATGGGTTCTCAAAGTCTAGGATGTGGAGATTGTAGGACAGCGCAGCATAGAGATGCCTGGTGGTGAGTCGCAGGCAGTACACAGGGCTGCTGAGCGGAGTCGACGTCAGTGGGAAGGCCTGGGAGGAGGGGCAGAGGAATGAGAAGAGTGTCTCATTTGGGAAATGGGGTACCCCGACTCAGGAGACCCAGACCCAGTGAAACAGGGACAGGTACCATAGCTACAACGTTGGCCAATCACCAGCCTCCAATGCAACCCACAGCGGGTCTTGACATAGCAGAGGCATGTGCTGGTTGGGACACTTACGTTCAGGCAAGCCCTTTGGCGCCGGTCCCACAGCCGCACAACACCATAGTAGGAGGAACCTGTGGCCAGCAGGTGGTTGCCATCTGTCTGCAGGCAGTATAAGGTACTGTCATGGGGCTCCTCCCACTCCATGACACATTTCCTGTCCAGGAAGAGAGAGTGGTACAGGCAGGTGCCCTCCCTCCAGCCCAGCTTCCCCAGGGATGGAGACAGGTTAGGGAGGCCTATGGGCTGGAGTAGTGTGAAGCCTGACTCACTGGCTTCTTTCACGAGCAACCCTAATGGAGAAAGGCGCCTCTGCAGAGGCCTCCTGTGAGCCTCCCTGTCCTCATCTACGTCCTCCTGGCAGACTACCTGACATAGGATCCGTGAGAGACACACACAGGCCTCACAAGGTCTGAGAGAGAATGCCAGGGGAAGTCTTGTTCCTGCTGACTTGTTGAGGCTCTGAAAAGGGTCTGCCCTTCTCTGTCTCCCAGGCCACAATGAGCAGAGAGAGCTGTCTAAGGGTAGGGAACCTGAACTACTATGACCTTGCTGACAGGCTCTCTGTGCCTGCCCTGGCCGACCCAGGACTAAAAAGTTCCTGCATTGGTACAGGCCTTCCGTGTGATCCACCCATCCAGCACACTCACCGGGTACTTGTGCGGAGGTCCCAGTAGCGAACATAGGTGTCATAACCACAGGACAGCAGTGTAGAAGGGGACTCATACATGACATCCAACACCCCGGCCCCTGGGGGAAAATCACTGCCCAGATGTGTGATCAGCTGTCCACTAAGGAAGAAAAGAAGGGCATAAAGTGAAAGGCGGCCTACCTTGGCCAGGCCTTGCAAAAGGCATCTGGCCTTGGGGACATATAGGTCCCCATCACCTGGGAGTGCCGAAGAGAAGATGCCTAGTGACTGAACCTCCAAGTAGCAAACTGCCCAGCCCTCCCCCAGTATCCCAGCTCCTAGCTGAAGGCTCAGTAGGGCAAAGACACAGCAACCCTCCTCCATCACACCTGCATGCTGGCTGCCTGCTCCCTCTGGGACTATGAATGGTCTTGCTGAAGAGGTCAGCCCCCTCACAAGCACACACTTGGTTACTTTATACTCCTTCATCTGGCAGGTCATGCAGTTCTGAGCTGCCTGAGACCGGTGCCTTAATTCCTGACTGTAATCTGGGGCTCAAACCTTACTAGGGATAAAGACCACACAAAGGGAGAAAGGGCAGTCCTAGGAGATGTTAAAACAAGTAAACACCTTTGTGTCCAGCGGCAGAAATAGCTGAGAAAGCAGCTTAGTGTGCTGGTCCCTGGTGTTCTCGGTCTCTGGCCCCCAGCCCAGGGCTAGCACGCCTCCGTGATCACAGCCCCCAGCCTGCTGGGCTCCAGCCTGCTCCCCCACCCGTACCCCACCCGGTGGCCGAGACCAGATTACTGAGAAGAACAATTTCTTTGTGACTGTGTAATTCCCTCCGTGACCGCGGCAGTGGGCAGACCTCTCACCCCATGCCAGACCCCTAGCAACCACGTAGGGGGGCCTCTTGGCCCTAGCAACTGCCCCTCAACATCAAGTGCACCAGCTAATCCTTATGGCCGGGAATGGTGGATGTATTGAGTTTCTGCAGAATGTGTGGAGGGAATAAGAGGAGGCACCTTCTGGGCCCAGTGCCTCAGCTTCCTGTCCATGGCTCTCCTTCATGGTATGACAGGAGAAACAGGCCATGCTCACATCTCAGGCATGTACAGGTAAGAGGCCTGGGCATGGGGCACGAGGGGATTTCACTGACTCAGAAGAACAACTTTGGCCTGAGCAGTGTCTCACAAAGGGCTTGAAGCAGGCTGGGCTGCCAGCCGTGTGTCTAAATGTAGACTTCAGCTCCAGGCTGTCCTCATCACTCAGACTCTCACTTAGCCTACTCCCCTAAAAGGTAGCCATCTTAAAAAGCATTGAAGGAGGAGGCTGGGGCTCTCTCTTTACCTGTTCAGCTGTCCACTGTGAGCACCATGAAGCCCGCCAAGGAACCCTACTGCTATCCACTGAAGGGTTGAGTCCCTAAACTGGCACACTGTGCCAGCCACCTTTCCAAGGTTATGCAGTGGCCTAGGGTGGGAGTCTGTCAGGGGCTCCTAGGGGACCGGGAGACATCTCCCCAGGTCGGTGTCTGCTACAGACCACTTGGCCTTGCTCCTAGATAGAGACCCTGCCCTTCTAGAGCAGCCACCAGCCATGACAGCCGGGGGAGGTGGGGGGGTCCCCTCTCAAAGGTGGACTTGGATTTGTGTACACCAGGTGGGAGCCCCTCAGTTCTCTCTTTCCTTTCCAGATTTTGGGGCCCTGCCCACTCCATTAGTGAGGCTGTAAGGAGTGATTGAGGAGCTCGCTCTCCCCTTTAATCTATGCAAGTAATTTCATGTTTGTTTGAAATAGAAGATGAAAGACTGGCTGCAGGGGTGGAGCCCAGGAGAGCCCCCTCTGCCTGCCCACCTTGTCTCTGGGATTCTGAGAGAGTCAGAGCTGGGTACCCACTGCTGGGGCTCAGAAGTGAGAGGGGGGGGCACTTCCAGATTGAGCCGCCACCAATCTGGATCCTGTCCACTGCCCAAGCAGCCACCAAATACAGCACAGCCCAAGGGGCCTGGGGGAGACCCAAAGGCCCAGCCCTTCATCTGCCTGCCCCAGCCTGAGAAGTTTCTGCTTTACTTTCTCTGGGACTCAAGTGGCTACACACACTTTAAACCACCAATAAAAAGATAACGATTTCTTTGGCCTTGGAGTCTCGGAGCTCTGTTGTATAGCACTACAAGGCTAAGTTCAGAGCATCAGCGGACACATCAGGCCCTGGGAAATGGCCTGTCTCTCCTAATAGTAGCCCAGCAGTGCCACAGGAGCCCTGCTGCGGCTTTGATTTGGGAAAACAAACAGAAATGGCACCATGGGCCCTTCAGGTTCCCACCCCAGCCCCAATTGAAGTAGAAAACTGTAGCTTAACTGTTGTGATGGAGAGAGACTGGGCCAACAATAGCCCAGACGGCTTCTGTCTCCTCACCCCTCCTGCGCCGCTTTTCTCGCTGCAAGTGTGTTCTTGTAAAAACGATTAGATTGCAATTTGTATAACGTGGTGACCCCAAATTCAGACATTTCACCCCTTTTCTCTGGAAAGAATGTTAAGAATGCTTCTCGGCCTCTCACTGTAGGGGGCAAAACGGGGTAGTGTGCGTGCAGCCTTGGCTGTCCCACAACTTGTGTGGGAACAGGGCTGACACTCAGAGCCCCAGGCCAAGACAGGAGCAAGAACTGGGCTTGTAACTATAGAGAGCCAGACAAAAAAATCCCTTTCCTTCCAACTCTTGCAGACAAAGCGTAGGCCTCCAGGAGCTGCCGAGGGCCGCAGACCTCCATACCCTAGCCTCCTGAGCCTGACTCCAGCAATTCTGTCTCCACCCAGAGAAAGATAAAGACAGATGGAGCAGCCTGCAGGGTGAGCCTGATGAATGAGACAGGCTAAGTCGGAGTGCTGCAGGAGGCCTCTGGTACCTGTGCAGGACCACGTCCCTGAAGGGTCTCTCAGAAACGAAAGGAGGTCTCCTGAGCTTGGCTTACCCTGCTGACCAGGAGGGAGAAAATTCAATAATGTACTGCCACCAGCCACTCTGGCCCAGTTGCCAGAGGCATTTCCCCTGCCCCTCCAGCGTCTCAACACCGTGCCCTACTACTCTTAGTCCAGTGCTCACACCTCCTCTGGCCCACACACTCACCACAGGCCTCTCGCACAGGAATGTTCTGAGGCTTCCAGCCCGCAGTGCCGCACCTGTGGTCCTCACACCTTTCCCAGCTACTTGTAACACTGATGTCTGCTGTGGCCTGGAGCACGTGTGCACTCTGCTTCCCGGAAGTGCCAGCCTCTCTGCCATTTGCTACCCTGGACAGTAACTGCAGTTTTGAGACTCAAGTATGACAAGCAGTTTATCTCTTCTGTCTAAGGGCGAATGGCCTGTAAGTTAAAGCAGGCTCAGGGGTCACTGCTTCTCTCCCTCCTGTAACCAATAGCCAAGGACCATAAGGAATTGTGCTTTAGCAGAAACTACAGGGAGATGTGAGCCGCACTGTCCAGTGAGGGAGAAAAGTCTAAATTTATACTCAGCTAACAAGACAGAAAAAAACGTTCTAAAAGGATAAACAGACATCTTGGGGTGAGGGGATTGGGTAATTCTTTCGTTAATGATGGGATTGTGACAGGCAGTGACAAAGGTAATGAGGCTGACCATCTGATTTGGCTAGAGGCTTGGCAGTGTCCGGTGCCCAGCCCTCAGAGACCCGTGGATACATACAATCAGTCCTCTGATTGTGAATAAAGAAGCCAAAGCCACTGAGGAAATACCTTCAAGTCACATACGAGGAAGACAGGATACAGGCTGAATGGCAACCCCAGCCTGGTGGTATCCTGATAGGAACAGAGACGGCTGTATAGGTCTCATAGTGGCGGAGTAGCTGTTACCTTTGTAGCAGCTCACACAGTTGAGTCTGGCAGGCACTACCTACACTGAGTGTTTCACACATGCTGGCTTGTATGCTCCTTACAATAGGCCTCTCCCTGCCCCCACCCCCAATTTTCTATTTTATTTATTTATTTGAGACAGGGTTTCTCTGTGTAGCCCTGGCTGTCCCAGAACTCACTCTCTCTGGCCTCAAATTCAAGAGATCCGCTTGCCCTCTGCCACTTGAATATTGGAATTAAAGGCGTGCTATCAAGCCCAGCTTAATTTTGTGTTCTTTTAAGCCTCCAAGTCTGCCATTTTCTCCTGCAACAATGGAGCACCTGTACTGTATCTGTCTTGGTCTCTCACTGTCCTCTGTAGGTAATTGGGCCCTGCCACTCGTCAAGGGACCTCTGACTTGCCCCTGTGGGAATGGGAGCGTCTAGTTGGTTGCAAGCCCAGCCCGGCCCCAGCAGATACAAGGTTCATCTTCAGGTCCTCTCTTGTACTTTGCAGGTCTCTGTACCTCAGGTGCCCAAGGGGCTGGTCCTCTACTAAGAGAATCAAAGGAACACACCCCAAATGTTTCTTCCCCAAACATCTCTTGCAAAGGTTGTGCTTATAGAAATCAAGGAACAATTTAAAGGAGTCACTTATCTCCTGGGGATCAAACTCAAGTTGTCAGGCTCAGTGACAAGTACCTTTGCCCACTGAGCCACCTGCCCCAGATTTCAAACCCAACAGTGGAGATGTGAGGACAGTGCTGAAACTCACTGTCCCTGCTATGTCAGAGGGAGGGGGCACACAGTGTCTGTCACATGTATATGTGTGAGCATGCATCCCCTCCAGCACCCACCAGAGCACACGTGTTCAAACACAATGGCTCAAAGGCCAGGCAGCCAGGCAGCCCACTTTGTACTGCTAACAAGGCGACGTAATTACAGGAAAGGGCAGCCGGGCAGATAAAAGGATACAAAATTTCAACATCTGTTGCCATAAAGGGATAAGGAGTAGTGAAACGCAAAGTATCAGTTTGGTGTCAGCAGGCAGAGAGCCAATTTCAAAGAGTTCAGGGGGACAGAGGGGACAAGAAAGCAAAAGCAAAGGGGTAAAAGAATAAGAAATTACAGGGTTCCTTAAAGAAGTAGAGAAACAAGAGAATGAAAAGGCTGTCAGTAATACTTTCAAAGGAGAAGGCAGGTACTTTCAGGAGAGGCAGTCCCGTAATCACCCTGACTGAAGGCCAGGCCCCTGCGCGGGGCGGGGCAGAGGAAGGCCAGGGGAGACAAAGCCACATCTGGGTGGAATGGGG